CTTGTTCAACATTGAATGTCGAATGTCAAACGAGGAACAAGAAACTAACTTCACACCACCCTGCCAGCCTCACCCATCACAGTTTTGGGTCAATGTGTCACACGAACCACCAAATGGCATTTTATAACATGTTCACAATCTTTAAGTTCCATTCAAGCCAATTTCTTTGAACTGGGGAATTCCAGACTTTCACAAAAATTAATGTCCACAAGGCCACATGAAGAAAAAGTTTTCTGATGAGAGATTTTTTTATTAAATTGGAGGTTCAGCTGATGCAGTTTTGTATACGTTTCATTTTATTTTTTTCCTTTTATAAAACAATGCCAACTTTTCTGAGAAGGCAGACGATTATTAATGGTTTCTTTCCTTCAGTAGGCCTATGGTGCGACTTTGTGTGTGGTGTTGACAGTGAGGTTTGGGGATTGTAGGAACCCCCCCCCCCATTTTTTCCCCTTTTTCTTGTAAAACTTGCCAGTCCCCCCACAAAAACAAAAGTAAGTAATGCTCTCGTCATTGCGCCGACCCAATTTCTGGAATTATTTTTCACAAAGTGAACCCTACACTACAGTTGTTGCGTGAGCATGATGACCTTGACAATGTCAGCTACCATGTCTACAGTAAAAAAAAATTTAATCCAAATCGAAGCCCAGATTGTCTCAGATTGGTTTACACGATGGTTAAGCACAATTGCCCAAACTACAATCAAAGTGTAATTCAGCGAAATATGAGATAAAAGACGAAAAATTAACAAACCTTGTGTGGACATTCACGAGCGCGGGAAAGTCCAGTTCCAAAATTTTCCCGGGTTTATTTCCTTAAGTTGGTCATGACCGAATTGCGATGTCGAGAGGGCGGTGTTTACACAACCAGTAAACGAGTTGGCGGGGGGGGACACTTTGTACGGTGAAACTCAGTGTCATCGTGCAACTTCAAAGACAGGAAAGAGATGCGAATTTCTCAAAATGTCTTTTTATAGTTTGTATTACATCGTTACATCCCTATGTGCATATTTTTGCAGGTTTTCTTTTTGGAGTTCGTTCTTTCCGTTCAACCTGTCACATCATGGAGAAATGTGTTTTATTTCTCCATGGTCACATCAACCTTTTCTATCTTATCACCTGGTTAGCACATTAGTTTTGGTTTATTTATTTTTCCACTTTTTTTTTTTTACTTTATTCGCTTTATTTCCACACAAAGGGGGAGGGACCTCAAAGAAGCACGATTTAATGTTTTTTTTTTCAGTTCGATGTTGGCTTTTAACCCAAAGTTGTTAAACTTAGAAGACGAATTCAACCACAGAGAGAACCCGTACATGATTGGAAGTATAAGTTCTTAACTTTCTAAGCAATTTTATTACAGAAGAGACAGTACATTCGAAAATGAAAAGTATGAACCAAATCTCCTTACCACCTTACTTCGACCAGAGACAGTTGCTTAATTCCCAGAGTGTACAATAAACGGGCGAGCAATTTGTTTTCATGAAAATTTGTTCCAAGCACTCAATGTGGGGATTTTTCACAACCCAATTGAAAAGGTTTACAAAATAGAAATCAGTGATTTTCTAAGGCAAAGATTATCCACAAGAAATTTGGATTGATACCCANCTTGTTCAACACTGAATGTCGAATGTCAAACGAGGAACAAGAAACTAACTTCACACCGCCCTGCCAGCCTCACCCATCACAGTTTTGGGTCAATGTGTCACACGAACCACCAAATGGCATTTTATAACATGTTCACAATCCTTAAGTTCCATTCAAGCCAATTTCTTTGAACTGGGGAATTCCAGAATTTCACAAAAATTAATGTCCACAAGGCCACATGAAGAAAAAGTTTTCTGATGAGAGATTTTTTTATTAAATTGGAGGTTCAGCTGATGCAGTTTTGTATACGTTTCATTTTACTTTTTTCCTTTTATAAAACAATGCCAACTTTTCTGAGAAGGCAGACGATTATTAATGGTTTCTTTCCTTCAGTAGGCCTATGGTGCGACTTTGTGTGTGGTGTTGACAGTGAGGTTTGGGGATTGTAGGAACCCCCCCCCCCCATTTTTTCCCTTTTTCTTGTAAAACTTGCCAGTCCCCCCACAAAAACAAAAGTAAGTAATGCTCTCGTCATTGCGCCGACCCAATTTCTGGAATTATTTTTCACAAAATGAACCCTACACTACAGTTGTTGCGTGGGCATGATGACCTTGACAGTGTTAGCTACCATGTCTACAGTAAAAAAAAAATTTAATCCAAATCGAAGCCCAGATTGTCTCAGATTGGTTTACACGATGGTTAAGCACAATTGCCCAAACTACAATCAAAGTGTAATTCAGCGAAATATGAGATAAAAGACGAAAAATTAACAAACCTTGTGTGGACATTCACGAGCGCGGGAAAGTCCAGTTCCAAAATTTTCCGTGTTTATTTCCTTGAGTTGGTCATTGCGATGTCGAGAGGGCGGTGTTTACACAACCAGTAAACGATGTTGGCAGGGGGGACACTTTGTACGGCGAAACGCAGTGTCATCGTGCAACTTCAAAGACAGGAAAGACATGCAAACTTCTCAAAATGTTGTTTGTATTACATTGTTCCATCCCTATTTGTATATTTTTGCAGGTTTTCTTTTTGGAGTTGTTTCTTTTGGTTCAACTTGTCACGTCAACTTTTTTTCTATTGAACTTCTATCTTATCACCTTGTTAGCGCAATAGTTTTGGTTTATTTGTAACTTTTTTTTTTTACTTTATTCACTTTATTTCACAGAAAGGTGATGGGATCTCTAAGAAGCACGATTTAATGGGTTTTTTTTTGGTTTGATGTTGGCTTTTAACCCAAAGTTGTTAAACTTTGAAGACGAATTCAACCACAGATAGAACCCACACATGATTGGAAATAATAAGTTCTTAACTTTATAAGCAATTTTATTGCAGAAGAGACATTCAAAATGAAAAGTATAAACCAAATCTCCTTACCACCTTAATTCGACCAGAGAATGTTGCTCAATTAAAGATGTACTTTCACTTTTTATAAGGCTAGATAGTGTATTCCAGAGTGTACAACAAACGGGCGACTGAATTTGTTTTAATGAAAATTTGCTCCAAGCACTAAATATGGGGAATTTTCAGAACCCAATTGAAAAGGTTTACATGATAGAAATCAGTGATTTTCTAAAGCAAAGATTATTCACAAGAAATTTGGATTGATGCCCAT